TATGTCGTTTTGCTTCAAAATGTTCCGTTAGCTTTTCCGTTAGCTGTTTGTATGTTTGCTCATGTAATTGAGCCCTTCCAAAGAGATTTTTCAGCAATTCAAAAATTTCTGTGCCAGTCCAGGCAAGAGAAAATGACTTTTGCTTTTCCGCACAATTTACACTATATGCACTAAAATGTTGTTGCAGCTGCTCTAAGTAAGACTCCCAAGTCAGTTGTTCCTTAGAGAGAGAAACTGTGAAACGATGGTACAATGGTTTGACCACCTGCACCACCAGCATGAGTTTGAAGGATGGATTGCATCCACTGGTGTTGCTGCTTCAGCAAATTTTTCGTGAACTCTTGTTGTTCGAGTAATAGTTTTTGAATTATTTCACTTTCGTTCACCATTATTACAAGAATGCGAGACACGAATTGAAGAACTTCATTGCACTACCGCAACGCGTTTTTTTCCTTGTACATATGTATATCTTTTTTAAACCTCGTCGCCAGTGTAAAATATGAGACCGACGCGTAAGCTAGCAAAAACTCAACTGTTTATTCCGATTAAGAGTCGACCTTGTTTCATACAATACACGCAGGGTTGCATAACCAATAATAGTAAATAGTAGTACATTTCATTTCAACTATCGATTACTGATTCCATTTCATTATTAGTTACATATAAATATCGATTATTTAATGATTGAATAATTCAATGTATGCATTTAATTATGGATTATAACAGTAAACGTTTAATTTGTTTTTGCTCCAAAATTGCTACAAAATTACTATTAAAATAAATGTATTTACGCATTTCAAATTGTGATTGTTTTTATTTAATTTTCTGTCTTTATTTGAAAGTCTGTTTTTCGATTGCCAGATGAATTACATTTGTTCAAAAATTATATTTGAGTGGCATATTTGTAGAGATTTTATGAAAAAATTAATTGGTAGCATGATTCTCTCACGGCTCTCTTTGCACTTAGAAATTTAACTTGGAAATCAAAAATCTATAGTACTCCAAGTTTCTAAGTGAAGCTGGTTTTTTGGGTAACTACATATACATGCTGCTCATTTGCCAGACATACAATTTTCATGACAAGTCAAGTCTAAGTCTTGCTTAACTCAGCTTTAAGGGAGTTAAGGGAGTGTCAAAACTCTAATGCCACTAGTGAGTAAACCTTTAATTACTGAATCATGCTTTATACTTACGATTGGATTTTTTCAGCCAACCCGCTCGCGAAATATTTGTTAACAAGTTAAATTTCATACAAAATGCACTATTCGGGTCTTAGACTTATGCTTGAAATAATTCATTTAAATATATTTAACTCACTGAAAAAAGCACTTATTTTTTCATTTTTATTTTTATTTGTCACTCATAAACTTCAAACGTAAAATATATGAGGCGTTCTTTTTCATATCGAACACCAAATTTGAGTTCACACTTACGATTCGCTTCAAATTTTTGTTATGGGTTCTTATCATCGTATAAGCTTACAAGTATGGAAAGCGCCATTTTGTTTGTTTACATTTGAAAACAGCTGAGATCACCTGATTTTCAATTCTCTCATTCTCCGCACAGAGTTACATTCAAGTTTCAGAAAAAACTTTAAAATGTAAATTGAGAAATATTTTAGAAAAATGTGTTTTTATTCATTTGAATTCAATAAAAAAGAAATTAAAAATGCGTGCCAAGTCTTGCATTTCCAATAATAACGATAAATGTGTATGTTCCAGGCAATAATTTAAAATATTTGTGAAACTTATCGTTTTGCGCTAAAATACAACAATGTGTGTAAAATTCGTTGTCATTGCTTCTGTTTTGAATATCATATTCGTGCCTGCCGGTGGAAAAAATAGGTAAATTTGCATTTATTTTCAAGAAAACATATCAGTTAAAATATATTTCTTTCCAGAGCGACATACGGACAAGTAAGATGATAAATTTGTATGATGAATATCGCGGAAAAACTTTTGTATCAAAATTTCTATTCTAATTTGCATTTGAATTATGATATCAACAGGGATGATTTGGGACGTATTTTTTGAAGACAATTTTCTTATAAATATTGAGATTGTTGATTTATTTTAGAATTAAAAAAGGTAGTTTATATTAAAAAATATATTTACACTAGCAGTATGTAAATTACTTTTATTCCGAATTGAAACGATTTTAATGAATATTCATGGTTACCATTAATAGTAGTATGACAGTTAGATCTAAATGCATATTTGACAAGAAAGATAGAATACAAGATTGCGCCGTCCTGGCGGCGATGACATATCTGTACAAAAAGTAATAAAAGTCGAATTGGATGTTGAAAGAAAATGTGAGAACAGCAAATTTTCTTAATAATAAATTTTTCGATAAGGAACGTGTTTTGATTGTGCTAATTTGTAATAGCCTTATTCATAAACAATAAAGTAGCTTAAAAAAGGCTTATAAATTGAAAAATGTTTGTAAACGGCAATTTAAAAAGCTTTTTAAAATTTTTATTTTTTATTAATAAGGCAATAAAAATATGTGATTTACAATAACTTTTAACAAAGGAAATACGAAATAAGGTGATTTTTGCGGAAGTGGGTATTAGTGAATTTCAGTGCATTTAAAGTTTCTGAGGTTTCGTTTACCTTTAGATCAGAATTGTCAAAATTGAGAAATTCAAAGTAGCGATACAATAATCATAGAAAAGAAGATTGCGCCCTGCTGTGATGATGAGTAAATTTACCACAATGAGGAAGAATATAACAATTAAGTGAAAAAATTTTATTTTTACAAATTTAGTGAGCAGTAACGCGTTTCAAGAACGATATTTCAGACAAATCGTAAATGAACAACTATTTTTCCTTCCCGTCTGCTTTGGTTTTGGCAAAAAAGTTGATAAGCTCCTGACGGCGATCAAGTCATTTCAACCATAAAATAATATTATTTGCAAGAACCATTCACTAAAATTGTAACTAACTTTTTATTATTTATTAATTTCTTTTTGATATTCAGCAATAACAAGATGGAAAAAAATTATAAACCAAAATTAGTAATATTTTTATGAATGTAGTTATAAAAGTTCACAGAGGAAACGCCGGAAAACAATGTATTGGCAACAACATAAAATTTATGGCAATTTAGATGTCAACAGAATAATAACTACGATAAAAAAGCATGAGAGAAGTGTGCGAAAAACGGTCAACAAATTTCTTATAAAATATTTTGATTTTTGCTGGGTGTAAATGAAAACTCAATGAGTATTAAGGAAAAGAAAAATTTGAAAATAATAAACAGAAAAAGAGATGGGTGCACAAAAACTTTAGTTAAATGTTTTTCCCAAATTCTTAAAAAGTAAGCAAATCGATTTTTTTAATGTTACTTTACATCTATTTTCTTTTTTATGAATAAGGTCATAAGCATGTACCGTTTTTATAAATAAATCTTATAGCAATATGCTATATATTTATTTATACACTTTTTGGCTGGCAAAATATGTAATTTTTCAACTTTATAGAAAAGCGTATTTAACCACATTACTTTTTTTTAATATTGAATGGCGCAACACAACAACTCTTTTTGTTGCACGAAACCCTTGAACACGTGCCTGTCATCTATTTCTTCTGTTTCGACATTTCGGTATTTTGCATTTCTTTCATTTTGACGTCATTCGCATTGTCAGATTTTTGAAATTCGTTTTGGTTCGACATTCTGCTATTTCATAATTCTTTCATTCTCATGTCATCCATCTTCCATTTCTTACCTTCCATTGCCGTTCGCATCGTCGAACGTGCCTGTCAAACACTGCCGCCATCATGCTTTTCAGTTTGGCAGGCACGTCCGCTGTTTGGCAGGCACGTCCGCTGTTAGAAAGAGATTAGACAAAAAGGGGCATAGGATTCCATACTTGTAAGTATATACGATGGTTCTTATTAACGTCGTTTTAAATCTAAACAAGCTCAATATTTCTAACTTAGCTATTAACAGTTAAACTTTTTGAAGTTGATTTGCATAGTGAAGACCAGTAAATTATTGAATTATTGATTTAAAATTACACCATCGTAACCCTTGTTTTTTCTATAAAAATCATGGTTAAAAAATTGGCGTATTTCAAGAGCTATTTTCAAAATATTTTTTTTTTTTATGATGAGATGGTTTATTTTTCGAAAGTTTATGATGAGATATACATATTTAGCAAGGTGTTAAAAAACGAGTTTTTGCAAAAATTTAAATTTTATTGCAGATTCCGATAGAAGTCCTATCCGGAATTAATATTTGTATGGCATTATTTTTCTTTAAGGCGAAAAACACCTACAAATGGGCGTGGCAATTGCAGGACTAAAGTAGGCAAATCGAAGATTATATTGCGGATTTTGGCAGAACATCCCTTTGTTAACAGCATTTGTCCCACACTTTTTTCATTCAAAAAAAAAGTCTTCTAGAAACGGGCGTAGCAATTTTAAAACCAACAAACAAGTAATTTTAAATCCCTAATTTACTGGTCTTCACTATACAAATAAACTTCAGACAGTTAAACTGTTAATAGCGAAGTTTGCTTTAGGACGATCATAACCATCTTATATATAGAAATGCTACGCCAGTTTCTTCAGCTTTAAAACGATATTAAGATGAAGTCTCGTCGAATACGCGTTAGCTTATTTCATGTATAGAACCCATAAAAAAATATGAAGCGAATCGGAGACATGAGATCATTTTTTTACGAAATCCGTCCGACTTAAAAAAGAATGGCTCATATGCTTAGTAAATTGAAAGAAAAAACTCAGTAAAGCTAAAATATCTAATTGGGGGTAATATGGACCAGGTAGTACATATAACCATATACATTTTTATTTTTTATAATCATTTAAAATTAGAAAGAAATATTTGTTTATTATCGCTCTCTAGAAAATGCATTCAGGTCGTTTAAAATTCGTTTCATGCCCTTGTAGTTTAGATTTATGAAGGTTTCACTTCTAGATAGTATTGTGTTACTATCTAAAATAAATAACTTAAAACATTGCTTTAAACCATAGGAATCGATCTAACCAGCGATGGATGAAGCTCAGAACAACCGTTCAGATATCTTCAGCGATACAGAAGAAACCGCCTTTAAAACGCGAGGACTCTTTTTTAAAGCGTTTTTCAACGCGGCAAATACCAGAAGCACAGGTAAAATTAGCCAAAGATTCCAAAATTTTGTTTTAGTATTCATATAAACTAAATATAAACTAAAACAAATTAGTATACATATGCATACATACGAATACAAAAAATATTGCCTTAGGTATGTACTAAGCCGTATCAGTATACGCATATGAAAGAAAAAAAAGTTGAGTGCGTGTTAGTTTTATTTGAACACTTGTCGGAAAAAATTTGATATAACATTCTTAGTTAATAGCCGATTTTTAAATCTTTATGTCACCGAAATGGCCTTGGCCAGGCATATAATTGGACCTCAAACAATTTTGGTTTTAACAGCCGTTTTCATTTATACATACGTTCACCAGTTTTAGAACTACGATCCCTAATTTTTTATTTTTGTACTATAAATCTAAAGCCCCCAAAACGACTTTGCTAAAAGAAGTGCTAGGCTTTATTCACAAACAAAAAAGTTAAAATGTTTTTAAAATCCAGCAAAACCCATCACTTAGCAACTGCTAACTCTTTCGCTTTGATGTATAATTATGTTAAGTCCTCTCGTGATTCGAGTACGCTGTATCTAGACTTGCCAACCGTCCTCCTTTGCAACGAAATATCCTCCATCCTCCCCAAAGAGTAAAAAGTCCTCCCGAGCGCACTTGCGTACAAGGGTATTATAACCAGGCACCGTAAAAGTTATAAGTTCTACAGCAAAAATAAGTTTTATTCAGCACTAGATCGCCCTCACCCGCTTCGCTGAGTGTATGAAATTTAAAAATTTATTTCAAGAAAACTTAATTAAAAAACAGGGTGTTTTAAATTTTTGGACCATCTTGTCATACTTTTTCAATTAACTTATACCCTGAACTGAATTTGAGATTTTAAACAGATGAAAACCCATTACATGTAGTTTTGAAATGAAGCCCTTTAAAAACTATTTCGATTGATACCCATATTGTAATAATTCATTTAAATTATTGAATAGTTTGAATTTACCATTTTAAACAGTTGATAGCCTATGTGATACATACTGTGATACATATTCAAAACCATTTCGATTCATACCAATCTTCTATACTAACACATATATATTGAAAGCCGTTTTTTATGTGTTCGCAAATCTCGAGAACGGCCGAACCGATTTTTTTTTTTAAATTTCATTTTGATGTTTCAGACGTCCCAAGGATGGTTATAGGCTAAAACAAAATTCGATATATAAAGGGGGCGTAGCACCTCCCATACAAACAGATTTTTTCATACTTCGTATCTGTGTAAGTGTTCATGGTAGAATACTGGAACTTGGTACTGTGATATATGAAATCAATCTTATACTCCTGGAAAAAATAGGCTACATACGCATACTCATGGAGAAAAATTGGGATTATTGGAAAAGGGAGCGTGGTACCTCCCATTGGGAAAAGGGACGTGGCACCTCCTATGCAAGCCGAATTTTTCATACTGCATATCTCTGGAAGTGTTCGTGGTAGAATACCGGAACTTGGTACGGCGACATATGAAATCAATCTTATACTCATGGAGAAAAATGGGCTATTTGAAAAGAGGACGTGGCACCGTACAAACGTATATATATAATCCTTTTGTGCGTTTGTTAGTGAAATCCTCCTAAATTCCCGGACCGATTTTAACGAAGTTTTTTGGGTGCTTTGGAGTGGGTCTCTGGAAGGTGTAGTTTCACTATTTCACCCACCAGTTGGCGCTGGAGTTAAGTTATTACTAAAAATCCTATTTATGATCCACTTTGGCTAATATGCAAGATATGTATTGGTAACGATAAAGGTAATACTATTGCCAAAATGGCTGCCAGGTGGCGTTGCAGTCATTACGAATAATCGCCAAGTTGTACCATTGAGTATATCGAACTCTTGTGTGTTACGATTGGCCCAACGGATGTGATTACGCGTTAAAGCATCATTCGTGTCGACCGCTGTGGTGTAGTGGTAAGTAGTGCGCGCTTTCACTCACCAGCACCTGGGTTCAAGCCCTGGTCAAAGCAACATCGCAAAAAATAAGAAAAAAGGTTTTTTCTTAACAGCGGTCGTCCCTCGGCAGGCAATGGCAAACCTCCGAGTGTATTTCTGCCATGAAAAACAGCTTCTCATAAAAATACAATCGCCGTTCGGAGTCGGCATAAAACTGTAGGTTCCTCCGCTTTGTGTGACAACATCAAGGCGCACGCCACAAGTCGGAGGAGAAGCTCGGTCAAACACTAACATATGTGTAAGCGCCAATCTATTATTATTATTATTATTATTAAAGCTTCATTCGTAGACACCAGGGTTGAGTTGTGGAAGGATAAATCTCAAATCACTACCGATATCTCTACTGCGAGAACCGTTGCGCGCCTTTTACTGTAATATTTAATTTTAAATTACTTTTAAAAAAGGTGGCAACCCTTGTGAGGACTTAAATATTATTCAAAACGTTCGAACCAAAAGTTTCTTAACAATATTTTGTTAGACAACCATATTTTTTTCCTTCAGATAGCTTGCGTATAATTAATTTAAATTTGACTTTTCAAACAGGTGGCTTTGTTAAGCCTTCCTTTGACTTCCATTTTTTAATATAATTTTTAAATAAATAGCTCCCTTAATTGAAGTTGAATTTGATTTTTTTTAAAGGTTGCAGCCCTCATCCATGAGTAGATAATGATTTTACCAATGATCCATACCAAGTTTTAGTAATCTATTAAAAATATTTCCTACACGGTTAAAAATTTCGGTTTTAATTTTAAACTCTTTGGACTACATATATGACCAAACTAAATTCAGTTTCAAATACAAACCTTCCAAGTTTATAAAAAAGAGAGCACATATGTTGGGTTTAGAATTTAAACAATTCGGTTTAAATGTTAAACCCAAACATTTTCATAATTAAGAATAAAAAAAAAAAAAACAATCTTAAATTTCATGCTCCGTCTGGTTGGGATTGAACCCGGACAGCCTTGGTAGCAACCAATTGTATCAAGCATCTTTGCACACTCAGCTACAGCCACGCATGTAAATGTGCTTTCATATGTTGAGTTTGAATCAACACCACAATTCGCTGTGCAAACATATTCTATTTCGGTTTAGATTTTAAACCAAAGTTTCTATATTTGAAACCTAGAAACTAGAATTAAAACATTTTGGTTTGATTTTTAAACCACGAACTTTTTGGGCTAAAATTTAAACCAGAATATATTAAAAATTGCGTAAAACTATTGACTGGTTTAAAAAGTAGACTATAAAAGTTTAAAAAAGGCAGTAGTCCCAGCGCGGTTTAAAAACTAAACCCAAATTTTTGACCGTGCATACGTTTATAAATAAACATGTACACGACACATTTACAAAACCGGCACTCAAGTACACAATACATTGACAAAAACAGTACTAGACTGTCTAGCTTTGATTTCGGAATGCTTACACATTGAGATGTTAGCTTACTATCAATATAGAAGTATTACATATATGTTTTTGACGCTTCCTTCTCAATGATTTTTTACCAACAATTTTAAATCAATAACTGATATTTTCGGTCCCTGATTATAACTTTGTTCACGTAGCGGTTGTTTATAACAGCCAAAAGGAATCGAGATAATATGTATAGACAAATTTTTTCATAAATGCTCAGAATGAAAAAAGAAATGGATTAGGCGGTGACTGTCTGTTCGTCCATACGTGTATACGATAACTCGAGCAAAAGTTGAGATATCTCAACGATATTTGGTATGCGAGTTTCCCTTTATCCAAATGGGCGAAATCGGACTGTAACCACGCCCACTTCCCATATAACTAAGGTACCATCCGTTCTGTTTTTGGCAGGACCGTACTGTTCAAAGGTCTGTCCTGCGTAGTTTATCAAAATAGAAAAACCTGTAAATGGAATGTTTTTTCCAAGTGTCCTGCATTTATCCCGCGTCTCATTCGATATTTTAAAATTAACCGCGGTAGCCCTTTATTGATCAAAATATAATTAGCGTCGATAACTGATTGATAACTGCTTGAGAGTGAGGCTGATTTTGAAGCTTCAACCCGTAAATGCGTTCTAAATTTTGTTCGGTCACTGAAAATCGGTGACGAGAAAATGAAGACCAGCATCAAAAATACCTGTAACACTGCTCTACAAATTTTGAGTTATCGCGTGAATCTAAGAAATAAACGTTTTCCAAGATAATTTTGATTCGCTGAACACGTCAGTACCCTCAATACCCAATTTTCCTTCTTTTCAAAGAAGCGTTTTCGAGATTTTTTTACTCTCATGTAGTTATCAATCATTCTGTAGGTCATTTAAGTCGATTCAAAAGATATTGACGAATAACTGCGAAAAGTACCAAAAAACACGTTTTTCGTAAATATCTCGAAAACGCTTCTTCGAAGAAATGGGTGTTGTTTTCGTGTTCAACGACCCAATAGTAGGGGAGCCCAAGAGAGGATTCGGGGATTTACTCGAGCGCGTCAGATTAACATATGGGGGACACCCTGCACCCTGTTGAGTACCTCTGTCAAATCTAAGCCATCTCTGTAGAGGAGCGACGTGTTTGTTGTGATTTTGACAAGATCGGAATGCTTTTTTTCAGTGCTGCCAATCTTAATTTTTATACTGCTATTCGTTGGGAAATAATATCTAAAATACTCCACTTTAGTAATTCGTTTTATCGCGATTTTTAAAGAACTTGGTGTTTTCAGAACAATATTAATATTTAAAATTGCTGAGTTTGTATAATTTTTGTCCTCAAAAAGTAAAAAAATAAAAGATATCGTGGTTATCAATGGAAAAGACGTACACAAAAATCGTATGGAAAGGCGATTTTTTATATTAAATAACTTTTGCTGCATTGTCATAATATTGAGCCAAATGAACTACTGATACACTAGAATTGAGTGACTGCATGGTTAAATTAGGAATTCGCTTATATTATCGATATTTATGTGTTTTAATATGTAGATTATATTTCAAAATCATTTACAGTATTATGGGAAATTTCCTTATTTTACGGCCTTTACTTTATTAAATTGCAATATATGCCGATA